ATATGAATAAGGTCTAGCCAAGTTAACTGAAGCCATCGGCGAAGACTTTCGAAAGCAATAATGACAATAATAAGGCACCTATTTTGTGTTGTTTTAGCTTTCTAGAAGGATGTGATTTTTGTCCTGAAGAAGTTGTGAACGTTGCATGTGAATGATTGTGTGTTTTTTCCCCTCTAAAGCGGGAGGGTAAAAATTGTCTTATTTAGCTAGGAACTTGGTTGCGTGACCGGTTTTCTCTTGTCGGGTTCCCCACAGCCCAAGGTTTGGGAATTCACGGCCCCCACCCCACTCCCGCCTGAGAAGCAGGAAGGAAACATTAAATTGTGGAGGAGAAGTTTCCCAGAACCGAAACAGGTGAGAGACGCTGTAGCGTGAAAATAAATACATTTGACAATGGGGTCATTTTTCAGCAGGGTTTTTTTTTGGGGGGGGGGTTGGGAGGCCAAAGGCTGCAAAGTTCGGAGGCCTCAAGGAGAGGTCAGAAATGCAGCGGAAATCACCGGCTGACCCCTGACCCCTGTGAATTTCGGAGGGAGAAAAGGGTGGCCATTTGCATTTCGGACCTCTTAAGTGGAAGAGATGCTTCTTGGCCAGACACAAAAGCATGCGCCGAAAACAACATGTGGGAATCCACGGAGGGGCTTCCTCTGGGGTAGTGGGGGGCACTTTGCCGGATGGTTCAAAGCTCCAGTCCAACCATCTTCCCTTTGGGGAAAAAGAGAAGGTTTTCTCCATTTCCAAAGCAATTCAGCGGGGTGCAGAACACAAGAAGCGCATGTCCCGAGTCACAAAACCCACAAGGGGAGCATTGAGGGAAAAGAAAAACTTGAGATTTTCTGACAAGTCACGGAGACAAACTGGTGGCCATCAAGGTACAGGTGTTTTTTTGGAGGGGGGCAGTCAGATTCTAGGCACCATAGCCAGCAAATTGAGGGTGGTTCGTAAATGTTCTTAAACGGCTCGATGTGTTTCCACTCTGATGTCCCAGGAGAGGAGAGGTTCATTCCCCGGAAGTCAGATGCTGTCAAAAAGAACCCGCTTGTCTTAGGTCGGCTTAAGAACCCCCACATTTTGTCCCACAAAATACGGTAATCGGATCACAACTTCAGTGTCATACCCAACGTGCCGGCTCACGGCATTCCCAAAAGCTGCTTCTTCGGGGTGCATATTTTTGGTGTGACTTAGCTGGGAACTTTACAGGCCGAGGAATTAGGGAAATCATGCCAGAGAGAGTTCTGTGTTTTAGGGCTGCGGTATGTGCTCAGATCTGAACCTGGGCCCTCCAAATTCCAATCCAGCACTGTAAGCACTATACCGCACAGTCTGTCTGTCTCTCACTCACTCACTCTTGCTCTTGTCCATTCCGTTCCCCATGACTCTCAGAAACAGAATTATTTTCCCCAGAGGAGCTGATCACATTTCTGCCTTGCCACCAACTCCCGAGCCTTCATTGTTGCTGTTGTTTTCAGGCCTTCTATTTATTTGTTTGTTCGTTGTTCATCTAATTCTCTTGTTCCCGCTGGGTCCCTGCAAATAATAACGCCGGAAAGCCAACGAAACAGCTAATCCCACGGAAAGCCTGCGTGGCCGAATGATTTTAAAATTGCTGAATAAAAAGGGCTTAGCAGGAGAATGCCTCTCTCTCCCCCCACCCCAGGTTTGGGAAAAAAAGAGATGCTTTTGGAGTACTAAAGTCTCTGCAGAAATCGGTAAAGTGACCCTGGGGATGAGATCTCCCAAAATCCCCAAGGAAATGGGGCCAAGAATGGCTGTCTCTCCCCCCCACCCGCAAAGTCATATATCCAAGTGCCTACACAACTCCGACATCAAACGTACCTACGCTGTTTGCTTCATTATTTGGGTCTCCCGTTTTACTTACTTACTTAGTTTGATTTATATACCACTTTAACCAATGGTTCCTTTGGGTGGTATGCCACAATTGGCCATCTTAAAACAGCGTTATCAAACATGTTAAGTTAATCAAAGAAATTTAAACAAGTACTAGACTGATTTTTTTTAAATGAGGAAAAGAACACAACACGAAACAATGAAGCTGAAACACACACTCTTCAGCCCACACAGGAACCACATGGAGAGAATGAGTTCCTTTTATTTTGCATAAAACCCTCGTCGGATTTCCAAGGATGGCCAGGAAGAACAGAGGAATAACGATGACAGAACTGTTTTAATGCACATTAGAAGAGGAAAACAGCCATGGATGCGATTAAAAAAACAGGCAAAATGGGAATACAGTATTTTGCAACAGGACCCTGTATTGTGGGTTGCGGGCCTTCAGGGCAACGGGACCCCCCGGGAGGTGCCTCTGAAGGTGCAGCTCAAAGTCCAGTCCCGTCCATCTCTCTTTTGGTCCTCTTGGAAAACACCAAGAAATAAAAAGGTTGATGCCCCTTTTGAAGAAGACGTTAATCCTTCAGCTCGCCAGCATGCTTTGCTACAGGACCACCAGACCTTGTTCCTTCTCCTATCTCCAAACAAGATTTGTTTTATAACTCCTGATCCCTCCCCCCCAAAAAAACAGCTTTTTTTTTTTACTTCCAGACGCTCCTTTTCCAGTCTTCCTTCTTGTTGAAGCCCGGAGCTCAGCACGGGACACCTCCAGGACTGGGACGCGGGTGATGCTACCTGGGACAGGGTGGTGTTCCCAAGGGTGGACCGCCTGATTAGAAAAGGAACTTCTCTAACATTGGAGGAAGCCTGTCTAGCCTACAGTGCTAAGTGGAAGGCCTACGTGCATCTTGTGATGCTGCGGCAAACAAGGCAAACATGATTTTTAAAAGTTTTTTTAAAGCAACTTTTAAAAATCTCATTTGTCACGTTTGTCGCTGCATCACGCGGCTGGCTCGTTATCCACTTCCCAGTGATCTTTCCTTCCTTGTCTCGATCCTGTTCCAGCCTCTCGCTGTCGTGTGACACCGAAAACTTTCTCTGAGATTCTTTAAATGTTACTTTTTTTAAAAAAATGTATCGTAACCTCTGTTTTCCGACCCACCCTCAGCCCGCAGCGCCCGCTATGTTCCTCAGCAAATGTGAAGGGGAGCTGGGGGACCTCCGGAAGAGTGTGGACAGCGAGGGGACCACCCCAGAGAACCTGGACGAGGAGCCGCCTAAGAAGAAGCACCGGCGCAACCGCACCACCTTCACCACCTACCAGCTGCATGAGTTGGAGCGAGCCTTTGAGAAGTCCCACTACCCGGATGTCTACAGCCGTGAGGAGCTGGCCATGAAGGTCAACCTGCCAGAAGTCAGAGTCCAGGTAAGCTCACGACGCAGAGATGCAGCTGAGCCGAGGCCTGGGGAGTGGGCTCTGTCCGTCACAAATCAAATTTCCCCCTTCTTCACGGTTCCACAAGATTCTTACCAGTGGGAGATCATGTTTTCTTGCATGTCAAAAGTGTCAGGTTGCCTCCCTGTTATCTCCAGGAAGGGCTGTGGGGTGGGATCCCACCTAGAGAGCCATGGCTGCTTGTCAAGGAGGGCCACCGGGGCGAGACAGAGCAATGAAGCAGTGCCCTGTGTTACTGCTAAAAGAACCAACCATTATTCAGATGCATGTGGACTAGAACCTTCCTTTATTTAATACTGGGCTAAATCAAGGGAGATAATTCAATATCCAGTAACTTCTTACATCCCTAACTAATCACGTCACGACGGCTCAACACAGACCTGAATTTTCTTTCATTTTTCTGGCTTGGACGGATGTAAACCTCTGAGGTCTCGCCATGCATGGAAGGAGGTGGTTTGTTTTTGCATGGGTCTTTTTTAAGTCATTTGTAAGCCAATGAAGGCCCCTTTAAGACAAGTTAGTAATTAAATGAATGAATGTGTGAATTGGGATTTTATTAGGGCTGGGTATGGCAAAATAAACCAGCCGTTCTAAGGCCAATTTTCATTTTGATGTTTTAGGGTTATTTGGGGAAGGTTCTGGACCGAGAATTTTTTCCCACCCGAGGGATGCCTTTTTGAAAAGATATTTTCGAGGAAAGTTAAAAGCAAAATAGAAACTTTTGGCACCTTACAGACTAACTTTTATATTTTTGAATGTTCGCTTTCATGGCATTCTGACATGGTTTGGGAGTAGCTCCGTAGTGGACAAAAAAGCTCTACAGAGAACCATTAAAATTGTCCAGAATATCATCGGGCTCCGGCTACCAACCCTGGATGACATCTTCACATCCCGCTGTCTGAGGAAGCCACACAGCATCCTGAGAGACTCTTCCCATCCTGCTTATAACTTTTTTGAACTGTTGCCGTCTGGCAGAAGATATAGAACAATTAAGACTCGGACCACACGTTTTCTGAATAGTTTTTATCCCAGAGCTATAATTGCACTTAATAATGAGCTTAAAGACCACCAGTAGTGAATACTTAGTTGGACTGTGTTACTTGGCCTGCGGTGTAGATGTTTGTATTTTTAGTGGGGACTTTTAGTGGGTGGGGATTGTTGGGGGATTTTTTAGTGGGTGGGGAGTGTTTGGAGAATTTTATGTGCGTGCATGTGTCTGGTCTCTGGGTGTCTGTGAATTTCATTGTATGGGTATACTGTGTATATACTTACAATGACAATCAATCAATCAATCAATCAATCAATCAATCAATCAATCAATCAATCAATCAGTCCACTTCATCAGACATGAGAAGAGAGCATTTCTAGAACTACTTTCTTGGAACTCTCAAGCTGATGGTTTGGGAAGGCTTTCTAAGCGTTTGGTTGACTGGGTCTCTCCAGGGTGGGTTGGTGTGGCTTAGAACGGGCAGCCGACCTGGCCACCTCTAATGTTCTGTTTCTTGCCTCCCCTCTCCATAGGTCTGGTTCCAGAACCGGAGAGCCAAGTGGCGTCGGCAAGAGAAGATGGAGGCCAATTCCATGAAGCTTCACGACACCCCCATGCTGTCCTTCAACCGCCCCCCCATGCCGGCCAACGTTGGGCCCATCGGCAACTCTCTGCCTCTGGACCCCTGGCTGACATCCCCGATCGCCAGTGCCACGACGGTGCACAGCATCCCCGGGTTCATGGGTTCCCCACAGGCCCTACAGCCCACTTATGCGGGGCACTCTTTCCTCAACAGCCCACCCGCCATGCCACAGGGGATCCAACCCATGGCCCCCACGGCATACCAGTGCGCCACCACATTTGTGGACAAGTACCCACTAGAGGATGTGGACCAGCGGAGCTCCAGCATCGCTTCCTTACGGATGAAAGCCAAGGAGCACATCCAGACCATCGACAAGACATGGCAACCCATATGATATCTGGAAGGGGGTTGGGACTGGGCAGGGGGACGGGACAGGACAGCTGACCCTGCTGTGAGAAACGCAACCCCGGCAGGGTGAGGTGGACGGAAGGAGACCAGAGAGAATGATTCCCTCCTGCGTGACCTCCTCACATTTGCCAATGACGGTGCCGTTGGTCCATCTTATGCCACAGAAAACTCAAGTTTCTGGGGGGTGGTGGTGTTGGAAAAGGCAATTAAGACTGTGCACTGTTTCAGCCGTACTTTGTGGCATACGACTGTCGGACGCTCTGCTTGATAGGAACACTTTGGCTTTGTTCTTCCTTGAAAACATTGTGGACTTACACCCACACACTTCTATTCGAAAGGGATGGCCGCGTGCCCTCTGACACACGGTGGCAGCGGTGGGATAAAGAAAGGATTTTCCCGAAACAAATCTTTATCGGACAGACCTTTGTGCTTTTTTTTTGTTTGTTTGTTACTGTTTTACTTGGTTACGAGCATCTGTGGAAGCTCCCCGGAGAGATTTAAACATCTCCACCAAAAGGCATGTTCCTTTCCCCCAAATAAGAAAAATAAGGGTGTTAGGTTTATCGAAGGCAGTGGAGACGACGGTAGAACCAAGCTGGCAATACTCAGTGGCTAGTCCTCATGGAGGATGACAGGGTCAGGGTCTCGGATGGTTTCTGCTGCTTGTGGGAGAAGAAAAATGTGAATAATAGCCCAACAGGGTTTCTCTTGGTTTTAAATCCTCAAGAAATGGATGGACCGTAGTTGTTGTGGGCTAATATTCCTACTGAAATCGGTGGCGCACTGGTGACTCTTTATTTTTTCTGAAGTGGGTGTGCCATTTCCTATGTTTACATCTCCATTTCCTTTCCTGTGTTGCATTTATTCTGGTAGGTGGGCCACCCCTGTCCTTTTTTCTCTCTAAAATGCACGGTGTCATTTTGATACCCCACAATTTAACAGGAGGAAAGAAAAGATACTTGCTTTGTTGAAAAGTTCTTATTTTCTCAGGGTTCCTTGCACCCCCACCCCGTCCCCAAATCCTGTTGGAAAGCAATTCTGGGTCTTAAAGATAAATCCAAATGAAAGAGGAGAAATATGGTTTCTGTGTTTATTTCTTCTTTTTAAAGTGTGTGTAATCCAGACCACCAGAATGTTGGTTTAACATCCTTTTCATAAGTTGGACTAAAAAGCCCATCAGCCCTAGCCAACCGACACTGGAATTGAAACTGAATTATGTGAGACTTCTGCTTCTTTACAATTCCATCTTCAAGATGAATCTTTAAAATTCACCTACGTGTTAAACTTTTGCTGTTATGTGCCACCGGGTTATTTCGGCCTTACATGGTGACCCTAGGAATGGACAACCTCTTAAAAGACCTGGTCCCTTAACAGCTTTGCTCAGGTCTTGCAATGTCGTGGCTTCCTTTAACGAGTCCATCCATCTCATTATCACCTTCCTCTCTCCCTGCTGCCAACTTCAACCACTCAGGGGTTGATCCAGTTTAGGTCAACCCAAGGTAGGAGTTGCAGCTGGATGTAAACTTGGGATGATTTAGGGGGTGGGTGGAGGGAAAATACCATTTTTATTTTGCGAACCATCACAACACTAATTCTGCTTCTGTGCCTCCTCCGTGCCTTGGGCTCTGGCTGGAGGATGTGTCACACCCGATTCCATATTGCACGCTTGGCTGACCCTTGAAACAAAAGCCACCACCACCCCCTGCTTTTCCCCATTGTTGTCTCGCACCCAACCTGGGGTGGGGGGCTTCCCCTCCCTTCTCCATGGAGCTTGTTAGCAGAAATTGGCATTTCCATCACTCTGGGTCAGTGAGCAGAAGCTGTTGTTTTCCTTTCAAGAAAACGTTAGTTTTCCAAGACTTTTTTTTGGGGGGGGGGAGGGAACAAGGCTGTGTGTGTGTGCACACGAGATAAAGGTTTGGCCCTGGAGGCGGATTCTGATTCAGTTCTGAGATAAAGGTACCTCAATTTGCACCTTCGGGATGAGCCACGGAGGAAGACCCAGGGGCCCTGTGGCTCCATAGAGTTTCATTCAAGCTTTCCCGGGTCATCACCAAATCTTGAGGCCTCAGGTTTCGAAAGGCCTCTGGTTCTTCTTTTCTCCCCTCTTCTGGCAGATAACACCTAGGTAGCCTTAGAGGTTCAACAGGGTTCTTTGTTGCCTTTGCTATGGCAGACAGAAAAAGCTCAAGATTCCTTTGAAGAGGTGAGAAGATGGATTGCACCCTCTCAGACGAGCTCTTTCTGCCTCCAGATCTCTGTGCGTTCCACCAGCTTCGCGCTGCCTTGCCCATCGGAATTGGGGAACCAAGCATTGTTGTGATCTTTGTAATGCAATTAATAACCCCCACCCCTTTCTCCCTTTGCAGGGCTGAAGGCAGCTTGCCGCATCCATTTTAAAACAGAAAAAAAACCATGGGAGAAACAGATGCGGCTTAGAGAAAAAGACACACGCAAAACCTCACGGTAGTAAAACCCTGTTAAATAAGATCATTGTGTTAAAACGAGCGTTGATTTAAAAAAAACACCCCAACAAAAAAACTTTTGTCCCCAATAAACTCAACCCTCGCATTTGGAAATGTTATTATTTGGATGGGTGCCCATTTAGAAATAATTGGCGGTGGGCAAAACCAAGGCCCATGGATCTTCTGATTTGAAGTTTCTCGATTGGGTCAAGACGGGACCTTTTCGAATTCCTGGGCCACGTTTTCGAGTTCGAGCCATCCAAAACTGGGGGTTTCCTCCTTTGCACAGCCATTAAGCCATGCCCCGGGATTTGCTATGGGTCCTACTTTTTCTTCCACAGAGGGCTGGTCTTTGATTTCCAAGCCATCTGGCGCCCATCCGGTTGTACCCTCTGGCGGGAAGATTAAAAATAAAATTAAAAGCCCCGATGGGGTGTGCTTTCCGGCCCCCAATTCTTCCCGGGTGTGAGCACAAAGGTTTGGTTTTCCTCCCGTCTCTCTGGAGTTTTCTCAGTTGTAGAAATTTTTAATTTCTTCCCCAAAGGGGCCCAGTTTAGCGTTCAGCCAGGAGACGTCACTTCTGCTCCACCGCACTGGCGTTCACCGAAAACATCCGTAGGTGACACGGGCATGCATGGTATTCCCGGGGACAGAAAAGCACTCCAGTACCAAAATACGTGGGAGAGATGTGTCTTGGCTTTAAAACCAACCAATGACAATGTGGCTCGTTCACTTCATGGATTTTTTTCTTGGCTCCAGGACCTGCTAAGGCTCTGGCCTGACACCTTCTGCCGCTCTATCACATCAGCGCTCATTAAGCGGATTTAAACAGAGCCTGTGATGCTACTGTTACAGGACTTCGACCGGGTCTCTCTCTGCCCCTACAGTTCTCAAATCCCGACGGGAAACTTGGGGGTTTTGTTCGCCCACCCGTGGTGGCCAGAAACATATCATTCCATGGGGGACGGCGACTCCCATCATCCCCGAGCCGAAGGGGACGCTGGGAGCTGTCCTCCTACAGATTTAAATTCCGCCAACCTGGCTGGCGGAAGCCAAGCGTCCAGATGGATCCTGAATTATTCCGGCTGCCCGATTTATTTAAGTTTGGTGGGAAAGATCTGTTCTTCCTTTATGTCCCGATAAACCCTTCCCTTCTGGGTGGGGGGGGGACGCTGACCAGCCTCACAAGGAATGGCTGGCTCTGCTCATCCCCATTTAAGGAGGGATCCTGCCCAGTTTTGCTTTCCCCATTTAACCACTCACCGCGGGAACCCCCGGCGCCAACACAGCGGCAATAATGCAGGTTGATCGCCGTCAGCTGACACACTGGACTGGGGAGGTTGTCGTTTCCCCCCACACCCTTCTGCTTGCCCCCCCCCCGTGCATCTGGTGCCGCCAGAGTCTCCGGCCTGTCCAAGCGCTCCTTTTACAGCTGGCGTCCCCTCTCCCTACCCTGACTCCCTTTTTACAATGGGGCTTTCATGGGGTGGACCCTCCTGCTTCCCCCTAACGTCCCAAAATTAAACACCCCAAGATTTCTCTTTATTTTTTAATCTGGATCTGCGTCTCCGCAAAAAGTGAGAAGCCATCTGGAGTGCTTCTGGAAAGAGAAGCAAAGGTAGACACCAGACCAATAAAAGCCACATTTAGGGGGACACCCCAGCAGAATGTGGGTTCAGTAGGGGTGGGAAATGCTTATTTGGGACCCACTGAATAAAAGACACTCATAAATGCATCTGTTTTCACTGCTCAGTTCCTCTCTTCTCCTTTGCTGTCCGGTCTCTCAACTCCTGGATCAACTCTTCCCTTAAAACCTCTCCCTCAAGCTCCATTTTTTGCAAGGTGCACAAGACCGCTCGGATGGCACTCAACTCCAGGGCCTTACCTCCGTCCTCCTGACACCGACATGCTGGCATTACAAAATGCAGATTTCATTCAATATATAATAGGTTAGAAGCCACTGGCCCGTGGAGTATCACGTTTCCTTCCGAGTCCTATCATGCATGCAAGTCCAGAGTTTGCTTTTGAAACACCAGCAAAGGTTAGGCCAGTAAGAATCTGTTTGTTTGTTTTTTTTTAAGCAGCTGCAGTCCAACATGGCCAAAAAAACCCCAAAAAATACTCCCGAGCTTGCAGGAGGAAGATGATGAGGTAACTCAGGGGCCAATTCCAGAATGGATCCAGCATCTCTTGAGATTCTCCCCCTATTCTATGAAGTCCACTGGGTTCTATATCGCGATACTTCAGATGAGCAGGTTTCCATTCTGTATCTTGTGAAAGAGAGGCTGGGAGAGACTTCCAGATTTAGTATTATCCCTGGAATTTGGGAAGGAGAGCGTTTCCTTCCTTTGCACTCCCCCAGGTAAGGAAGTTGAGGTAGATGACAAGGATGAGTATCCATCTCAGCTTGGAATGAGAACCCTTTCTTTTCCCTTCTGGGATGCGAGCGGGCATCATTTTCTGTTAATTTCCACACTGGTGTGAATGCCTGAAGCACTGAATGGGTTGGGCTCATCTTTCCAATTTATCAGTCGGTCCTTCTCTATTGATGTGTGTGATTCCCTTCTTATGAATAGAAAAGACGCCTGCTTCAAACCAGGATAGGAACGTCAGGCTCTCTAGAGGTCGAGGATGGGATTCCCCAGATGCTGCCCAGCCTAACTGGGGCTGATGGGAGTTGGAATCCCAAAGGCTCAGGATGACCCGTCCAACTTCCCATGATGATAGGATTTGTTGTCCCAAAAAAGGAGGTGTGAGGGGAAGATGTCTACAGCTTCTGGTTTCAACAAATACCTTGAGCAGGGGAAACAGGCAGCAGAGCCAGTACCAGAGGATGATGGGAACTGTAGTGCAACCCCTGGTCACACCATACCTCTCTTCAAATGATCACAGAAAGCAAGCTAACGTGGCCACCTCCTCTCCTTTCCCACCCACCCCCCACCAGGAAGTTGCCGATTTAATTTAAGAAGACAGGACCAGGCGAAGGTGTGAAACAGAATAAGACCAGAATCCGGATCACATGGTTTTTAAAAGGGCATACACATTAGTTACGGTTGGAGATGCCCTTCCCAAAATGTATAGAAATATATGCTACATATACTACGTGAGAAGGATCTTTAAATTGTCGTAATAGATCACAAGATGAATAGGAGGCAGCCGTGTGATGTGGCTATAAAAAAAAGGCCAATGCAATTTTAGAAGGTATTTACAGAAAATCTCCACTTGTGAGGTGCTCATTCCCCTCTATTCAGCCTCCTCTTGAGTCCTGGGTTCCAGTTCTGGGTGCCGCAGATCAAGAAAGAGACCGACACATTGGAAGAAGTTCAGAGGAGGGCAAGAAGGATGAATCGGGGGACCGGAACCCAATCCCTATAAGGAGGAAAGACGGAGAGAACTGGGCATGTTTAGCCTTGGGGAAAGAAGAGGGGAGATAGGATAACACTTTTCAAAGACTTGAAAGGCTGTCCTCCAGAGGAGGGGCAGGATCTGTCCTTCCATCCTCCCAGAGTGCAGGACATGCAACCATGGGCTCAAGTGACAGGTTGCCAGAATTCAATTAAATGTCAGGGGGAAAAAAAACTTCCTAACTGTTCGAACAGCACAACAACGGGACCCCTGACCTCAGGAGGGGTTGAGCGCTGGCTCCAACACTGGAGGCGCTCAGGAGAAATTTAGACCACCCCCTGGCAGATCCACTTGGATTGGGATTCCTGCCTCAAGCAGGGGGTTAGACTACATGGCCTTTGAGCACCACACTTCCAACTCTGCTACTCTATAATTCTGTGTTTAGCTTCACCCCTGCATGTTCCAAGGCGTTTGTTACACCGAGCTTTGGTGCTCAAATCCTGAACAGCGATTGGGAAACTGAGGCAAGCAAGGGAGCTGACAACCACCCCACCCGGCCGGGAATTCCTTTCGAGGCGGAAGAGGAGAAAAGCTGGCGAGCCACCCAGCCGGGACTCGGTGCCGATATCACCGAAGCACCAGCACCCTCTTCTGTCGTTGGAGTAGAAACGCAAAGGTTGGATTATCTCAAAGGAGGGTCGTCCTAAAACCAGGAAGGATTTACGGGAATAAGAAAGCAGCCACGGAGTGTATCCCTAAGTGCATGCCAGAGGCGGGAAAAACATCCGTTCATTCAAACCCTTGCAGATCGCGACAGGGAAGAAAGAATCCAGAATTTCCATATCCTTTATTTCACGTGGAGTTTAAAAAACCTCGCTGTTTAATCCGCCGTCCGCCTCAGTCCATTGTCTGCAGCGTTCTTTTCACCGCTTCTTTGGAGGCTGTGGAAAGAGAGAGAGAGAGAGAAAAAAACAGGGAGACTGCCTCATAAGAAAGGGGTGCCTCGCCAGCGACCGAAAGATCGGGTTCGAAACTGGGCCGAGCGGCCTTGGAGCCCAACCGAGCACCGTCTGCAGTTGCACTGAGGTTTTTAAAAATAGCCTCTCAGCCACTGGGAAAAATCCTCAGCCGGGCACTTGGCTCGTAGAGAGGTGGCCAACCTTATCGGCCGTAATCTACTTTGCGGCCAAAGTTAGAAAGGCATTAAGCCCGGATCTGAACCAGGGCAGGCAACTGAGTCTCCTTTGCTGGGAGCTAGGTACATACAGGATGTTAGGGTCTCCCTTTATGCCAGGACAAGATGCTCCTGGCGCACTTGGGGAGTCATATGTTTCCCGCGAGTAACATCCCGGGACCATCATCTCTGCAGAAACCTCCACAGTCCGTGACTGCCCCTCTAAAACAAGACTCTCGGGGGGGGGGCGGGGAGTGGAGGGAGAAAAACCCACCTTTTAAAAGGAACAAAAAGATCTGTTCCGTTTGGGGAGATCCTGAGATGATCCATGGAAATTCTCGACATGGATCCTGGGCCCAGGATTTCCTGAAAACATCCCACCCCACAGCAGACAATCCTAAGTCTTGCATCTTTTTCTTTTTAACAAAAGGGTGCCTGTGACAACGGAGGGAGAACATGAAACCCCCCATGACGTCCTTCCCCTCAAAGAAGCTGAATAGGTTTACGTACAGGAAAGCGGAGTCGCCAATGGGATGCGGACACCCCCCCAAGCGGATGGAAAAATTCAGCTGTTCGCAAGAGATTGAAGCACTGAGTGAAGGAAAGAAGGAGAAAAGGAAGCCGGGAGAAAGAAGTTGGAAAACACAGTCAGTTGAACAGTAAACAGGGAGAGGGGAAAAAAAGAATAATTTTGTAGATCGGATTGTGGAGCAAAAGCATAGCAGAAGCTTAGAAGGAAATCAAACATATCGTACAGAGAGGATAACCGCCGCTTCTCGGGACTCCAGGCCAAGAAAGTTCCTTTTTCTAAGTTTTGGGAAGGAAGCGTGTTTGGCATCCCATTCCCCAAACCAAGTTTCTTCCCCAAAAGATTCTTTCTGGCCCGTTGGAGATAATTTGGGTCTATACAATCCTGCACCAGTGCTAAGGAGGAGCCATCGAAGGAGCACGCGGGGAGAAGAATACCCAAGTTTTTAATTTTTTTAGAGGAAGAATTTCATTCGTCGGCGGATGAAGCTGGCCTACGGAACTCCCTGCCACCAGAGGTAATGAAGGCATCCGAGCAGGGCAGCTCTGAGAGAGGGACTAGCACAAATCCATGGACAGTAATCCTTTTTGATAGCTACTAATTGGGATGGCTGATTTTCCTTTGAAAAGTCAGAGGGTGACCATTCAAGGCGGTGATTTTCCCCGGCCAAATGGCAACTGCATAAAAGGGTAAATTCTGGTGTGGTGTACGCTCCTGCCAAATGTGTGGGTCTTCAAGGTCACACTAGGCTCCGTGGCAGCATCATTAAAAAAAAAAAGCCCCTTTGGCAAAGAGGAACGAACCGGACACCAAGAGGAGGTGGGGAGCCACTTACCTTCTCTGGACGCCGCAGCCGCCCGCCCTCCGAGCTCGCTGAGGACGCTGTCCACCGTCTGGTGGTGCCTGAGGAACCATGGGCGGATAAGATGACGGTAAAGCACCTGCGAGCCGTTCCAGGAGACGGGCGCCATGCACCAGACCAGGAAGAGACTCTGGGGAGGCCAAAAGAGGACATCCTCATTTAATAGCGGGCTTCGTGGAGCGGACCCGGGGGATCCCGAAACAAGGACTGGACCTGGCTCGCATGATCTTCAGCTTAGAGTCCAAATGGCCCTCGCTTTTCGACCAGGCACCACCCCACCCTGGCCATTTGTGTGTTCCAAGGTGGACCTGACAGGGAGGCTTCCTGCCTCAATCGGCAGGGGTCCAGAAAAGCTGGGACTGGCCTGTGAGTTTATGTGGGCCATCAGGAGCCGTTCATTGGACGAAAGACCCGCCCAAGGCATTCCGCTGGCACCGGTTTGTCCATCCGGAGCGAATCAGCGGCCTACGTCTTTGGACCTTCCTTGGAGGGGGAACCTCAGTGGACCCTCATGGCAGTGCCTGCCCTTGAGCATCAGCCACAACAACTCTACCGTCGACCCCCACCCATCCACCCTTTTTCTTTTGGGCGCGATGACAAAGACATCCAACCGACCTGGGCTGGCAGCGACCTTCCCCCACCGTACCTTGCCAACATAGTAGAAGGGGAACCAGTAGAGGAAGGTGTCGGAGAAAAACTCGGCCACGCTGAAGAGGCCGTAGACCACCCAGTAGGTCAGCCACGTTGTGTCATCCTCTTTGGTGGAGCTTTCGATGGCCTTGATGCTGAAGCCGGCAGCGTCAGAAAACATGGGAATAAAAGGGGGGGGAGGGAATTATCACCCAGATCGCAAGTCAAGGGAGACACCCAGGGAGAGAGACTTGGGTCCTGTTTTCGAATCTCCCCATCCCACGCAGGCTCTTTTTGAACTGCAAACTTACGAAGCATAAGCTGGATAAACGAAGCCGATTAAGTTGCAAAGCAGGGAAGCTGCGTAGCCGAACATCAGGTAGAGCCCCAGAGCAGTAATGGAACCTGTAAAAAAGCAACAAAAAAAGGGGAATAAGCCAGGAGGGGGACCCGAAAACAGAGCAGCACCATCCGGGAGGCGAGCTCCTTTTCAGCCCAGTGGGGAACAGTCCCCTCAATATCGGATTTATCCGTGCCGTTCCGAAGTGTCGTCTTCAGCTCCGAGCGACCTCTGGCTCAGCTTATCCGATGTATATTTTCATTTCCAGCTGCAGAAATGGTCCTGGGAAAATAGGATTCCCTCCCCCCCCCTCAGGACTTGGCATCTAATCCCCTTGCAATTAGGCCGGCCCTGGCATGAGGCGAAGGGGTTTTATATACTGTATATATATGCTGTATAAACATAGAGAGGGGAGAATATGGAGGTACTTAATTATTCTTGTAGATTCAGCAGGAAAACAAAAAGCAGGGAGAGGTTCCGGAGGGCTTTTCCCGTTCCCGAGGCACAGTAATCCGGCTCTCTTTGTATTATTAGCCCGTAATCCTACCAAGCGTGGACGGCACCCAAAGGATGCTGGGATCTGTAGTCTAAAATGACTGGAAGAGTCTAGGTATCTCTCCCGGTTTAGGAGGAGGAGGAGGAAGAAAAACTCACCAGGTCAATGGGATGAAGCCAAGCCCCAAACGGTGGCCAAACAGAGCTTTAGCGCAAAGAACATTCCAGAACCTCAAGGCGGTGGATTATGCCCCGTGTAGGGAAATGTGCCTGGATCTGGATGACCACTCCCCAGAACCTTCTCAGGGATGATGGGACTTGTAGTTCGCAAACAGTAAACCCACTGACCTCACAACACGACTCTCCAAAAGTTAAAAAAACCCCACTCACTACACATTAGGGGAGGGAAGCCCATTCAGACTACAACTCCCATTAACCTTGGCCAGCAGAGCCCACAGTTGGGAATGCTAGGAGTTGTAGTCCCCAAAAAATCATTTAGAGAGGACCCCGGTTCGTTTACTGGATAGATAAAATGGCCTTCCAGACATTTGCAAAACCCTTTTGGACGCCCCTAGACAAACTCCAGGCTGAATTTCAAAACGGTGCTTTTTTAAAAGCTTTTTTTCCCCACTCCATTCCCAAAGAACATTCTTAAAGGAAACAATGTGATGGGAGCTGGGTAAAAATCCAGGGGAAATAAGTAGCCCTCTCTGCATGGTTTTACATGCCCCTTTTAAAAAAAATTATTATTTAAAAAATCTCCTGCTTTGGACTTGGACAGAAACACGAGTTGTCCCACAGAGAAAGCAGCCTGAAACCAATGGGAGTTGTAGTCACTCCCGATGCATCCGGAGAAGCATTTGCCAATCCTGAACCTAGGAATTATCAGAAAGGTTATTCCACTTCAGGAAATCATTAATCGCCCAAAGGCAAAGTCCAGGCCAGCTTGCTCGTCAAGAAGGCCTTCAAACGAACCCCACGGAAACCTTCAACCTAAGGCTGCCTGCCTCTCCACCCAAAGAAGCACGGGGCCTATTAAACAGGATTATTGATAGATAGTTGTAATAAAACCCGGTGCAGCTAGCCATCTTAGACTTCATGATCACACCCCGTTTTCAAAGAAAAAGGCAATTCGTCGACAGGTTAACGAAGGACTTCTGTCCCGTTTCTTCCAAAGAATGTTATTCATGGTGATGATGATGATGATTAGAGGTGTGCACTTTTGTGCATCTGGACTAGAAATTTCAGACTTCTCCCACCAGCAAAATTTCGACCCCTCTCATCATGACTAACGCGAGGATGACGAGAATACCCGTTTTTAAATAGCCAGCGCACAAAGCTACATTCTTGCTCCCTCAGCCTTGAAACAAAATAAAATTCTAGTCCTCATGTTTCTCTCCTTCAAACTTCCAAGTTTTTCTCTTTTAGAATCAAGGCCAGTTTTGGCTGGGTGTTTTTCAACTGAGAGAGGCAAAGGTGTCCTCCCCCCTCCCCACTTGCTGGTGATGTGCAACACAGTGCTTCCCCATGCCAAACCTGACCTTCCAGTTTAGGAACAACTCCAAGCAAAGAACCTGTTATCTGCCCAGAAAGAACCTCGGTGTCATCTATAGAGAGTCAGGCCAGATCCTGCAGGATTCCTACAGATTTCCATCAAAACGGACATGTTATGTCCCCGGGAAGTTTAAGAAGAGCTCCCAAAACTCTAGAGGAGCGTGCACAAACCACACAAAAATTTTGCTTCCTTGGACATGGAAAGACAAACCTTGCATTTTTCCCTGGCTCGACTACGGAGAGATCAAATCAGCTTGTGTTTCATTCAGTCCAGGACTACCTAACAGGGTTGTCATCACCAACTAGAAGGAAAGCCATATACGAGCACTGTGAATTTCTCTGGAAGGCTACAGATGTAAAACTGTGGAACAAGGACTGTGCTGATCTGAATTCACTGAGCCAAAAAACCTCTCCGGATGGCTTTAGGCCTGCTTTTTCTGTTCTCCGCTTGATATATTGCGCAGGGCTGCTGTGAGGAAAAAATAGCACGGAGGAGAGCCACACATGCCCCCCTTCAGAGAGATCGGATTGTCACCTGAGCGACAACAGGTAAGCCCTTAAAATGATGCAGAATAATACAATATTTCTCCTGCAAAGTGGGGTGGGAAGCTCACAAAAGCCCAGGAAAAAAAAAAGTAAAGGCTGTTTTTAGGAACAGGAAGAAAAAGGGATGGAAGAGGGGAATGGTTAACTCTCTGCCCTCAAGGCGCTTACACTAAAAAAAGTAGTGATAATAGAGAAGAAGGCAAAGAAAGAGAAGGAAGGAGTTCTGTCTCAACAAATGCAATTATGCTGAGGCTGTAGGCCTATGAACCCCCTTTTGTCTCCTCCAAGGCCAATATTAGGTGCTTTTGGTGAACATTAAAAGGGTTTAAAACTGGGCTGGGCTTGTGGAGGAGGGGGAAATTCGATAGAATTTAAATGTAAGTAGAAATTCCACAAGGCAGAGCCTGTTTAAGGCAGCCCAGCCTCCCCGTAGCGGGGAGAAACTCCATGACCTTCCATGGGGCTTTCTCCTGAGTAGACAGGTAAAGGTGTGGGCCGTAGAAGAAGGTGTGGGGAGGGGTTTCCCCAACCTAGGTGCCAAAGGGTGGTCTCTGAGCATGCAAAAAGTCCTATAAACAAAGGAACAAGTCGCGCGCGCGCGTGTGTGTGTGTGTGTGTGTGTGTGTGTGTGTGTGTGTGTGTGTGTGTATGTGTGTGTGTGTATA